CTGAAGCCGCGCCCGCGCATATCGAACAGTAGCTGGAAGCCGTCGAGCAGGTCCTGTTTGATGATGCTCCAACACGCCCGGAGAAATTTTGCAGTGAATCCGTCGGGCCCCGGCGCCTTGCGGGGCGGCATGTGCTTTATTACGTCCCAGATCTCTTCCAGGCTGAGTGGCGCGTTGAGGCACGCCAGATCAGTTGGCTCGATGAGTTGCGACAGGTCCAGCATGTGGTCCCTGTCAACGGCGGTGCCGAGCAAGCCGTCGAAGTGCGTGAAGGCTTCTTGAGCCATCTGCTCGTGGCTGGTGAGCACTTGCCCGTCGACGGTGATGTTGTGCATGCGGTTCTTCTGCCGGCGGTAGGAGCACTGTCGGTGGAAGAAATTGGTGTTGGCGTCTCCGTCCTTGAGATTGGCGATGCGTGATCGTTGCCTGGCGATAGTTCGCTCCATGGAGGCAAGGCCGAGGTAAGCGATCTTGATCTGCTTGCGCAGCCAATCCTCCGGCGGCGAGAGCACGCGGTCCTTCATGGCCTTGTTGAAGCGCAGGATGAGTTCACGGGAGATGGCCATCTTTTCTCGGATATTGCCAGTGGTCTTGGCGCTCCAACTTGTGAGTCGTTGAGCTGTGGCCTGTAGGCGCAGCACAAGACGTCAGAAGGGGTCGGGGTCGTGGACTGAGCCCCCCAAGCTGCAGCGACCGTGTCGTGGAACCCGTCCAGGCTCAGCCAGTATTCCTTGAAGTGGAAGCGCCGATGGGCCGTCGGTGTGGGTGAGCATTCCAACAGGAGGGAGCAGTTGTCCGATACGACCGACGCAAGGCAACGCAGATGGCAGTTGGCATGTGCATCCTCCCAATCGGACGAGCATAGCACACGGTCCAGGTGCACCAGAGTCGGTGGTGATTGCTCGTTAGACCATGTGAAACGGCGTCCGTTGAGGTATATCTCCTTCAGGGCGAGGTCATTAATGACGTGACGGAACCTTCCCATCATGCGCCGGTTCACCCGCCGCTGCTCTTGTCCTCCGCGCGATAGATGAGGTTAAAGTCCCCACATAGCATCCAAGGGCCAGTGCAATCCTCACGGATCTCACGCAACTCCTGTAGGAACGAGATCTTATCCGCGTCATCCTGGGGTCCGTATACGATTGTCAGCCACCAAGGCGCGCTGGTGCTGTGGCCACCTTGCCCGTGATCGCATTGGTGGTGAACACCGGGTCCGTGATAGTCACGGCCCTGCTCTTCCACGCCAGGAGGATGCCGCCTCGTGTGCCCAGCGTCGGGAGGTAGGTGTAATCGCCAAATTCCGGTCCAAGTGTGTCAAGGACAACAGACGAACAGATCAATGCCATTTTAGTCTCCTGCAAGCGGACAATCGATGCCCCAGTGGTGTCCAGTAACGATCTAATGGCGGTGCGCCGGGCGCGCATTGAGACCGCGCACATTCCAAACTACAACCTTCAGGCCGTGATCCATGGAAACGGGATCAACGATTAGGCAGCCGGTCGGGTCTAGTTCTCGTCTGTGCCATCGACGCGCGCCGAGATGGTTGGCGATGAGGCGAGACACGCTGGGATCTCACGATCAAACCAGGGTTGCGATGGCCTTGATCACCACCAACGGGATGGGCACCGCGAACATTCCCTCATAAATCTTCATCTCGGCCGCTGTTATCTTTTGGTTGGTGCCCACGATCCCCAGCGTGCGGAGAAGTTGCACCCGCGCTCTTCGCTCGGCGGTAGGCGGTAGCCCCGCAGGGGTGGCAGATGCCGAGCGCCCGCGTCGAGGGGAGAAGTTAAGCGGGCGACGCGGCCGTTTCCCAGGTGTCGGCAACGCCGCACACACCTGCTTAGTGGCGGCGGCTAGGAATTCGCCCAACGTCCATGATCGCTGCGGCGCGACGCGGCTAGGAGTGCGGCGGAGAGTGATGAGCGGGGAAGTGAAGCGATCAGGCGCAGCTGGTGCGGACCAGGGGTGGTGCATGCGGCTGCGGAGGTTGCTGCTGTGGTGGGGACGTCGTTGGGCCTCCCTGGCGTCGCGTGTTGGGCTTGACCCCGCTGCAAAATTGCAATGGGGCCTCTTGATGGGAGGGTGGCAACGGTGGTCCAACAGCTGCAATGGGGACTCGATGGGGAGGGTGGCAGCGACGGCCCATCAGCTGGAGCTGCAGGGCCTGGCGAGCTGGCAGGGGTAGTGGCCTCGCGCGTCTCCCCGCCTGGCGCATCGCGAGGGTGGGGCTGTGTGGACTGGTCAGCGTGTGCGCTGGGTCCCGCTGGCGAGGAGGACGTGTGCACATCATCGCTTTGTCCCGACAAGGCGGTTTGCTCGGCTGGCTCCTCAGGCTGCGAGTCTGGCACCTCGCTCAGAGTGGCCAGGTCCCGACAAGCCATCGGATCATGGGAGCCAGCGGTTGGCCCAACAGGATCATCCTCGGGCTCGTGGGATGGGGCGGGGTTTGAATCTTTGGAGGCTTCTGATGGCCCTACAGCCAATGATGTCTCGCCAGCAGGCGTGGTGGCCCCAACCCTGGCATCTCCTGTGGCGGTCGCAACCTTGCGCGCCTGGTCCATGCCAAAAAAGTGCCTTTGCCTTCTCTTGCCTCTTCTTTTTCTGGAGCGGCGACGAGATTGGGTGGGCCCCTCTGACCTGGCCATGGCAGCATGCTGTTCCTTGGGGTGGGCGCGGGCGGCCACGCCGCCGCGCCGGCCGGAGCGGGCCAGGAGGAGGCCGTGTTCACCCCATCGATGCGGCCGGAGCGGTCGCCTGCATGCCAGCCCAGCGAATTGACGACCATGCCATCCGCACGCCCGCCTGGCTGTGCATCGGTCCTTCGTCGCTTGTGGCCGCCTCGGCGGGCGCGTCCACGGCCAGGTCCTTTGGTCTGGGCCTGGTGGGTTACCGGCGCCATTCCTGTCGCGGTCGTTGTTGGCCTGGACACCGGTGGTGGGGGCCTAGATCATGTCGGCGCGCGTGATCACCACAGAAATGGGGAACGTGAGTGTCTTGATGGTCGGCGCTTCGGAGCATATGCGCGAGGGAACCTGCTCGACGATGGCAGCGCGACGGATGTGGGCGAGGTCGTGCGTGAGGCCGGATAGCAGGAAGGTGGCCAGATCGTCTCACGAGCGCGTGCGAGGATGCAGACGCTCGATCCAGCAACTCTCCCTCAAGATGTGCTCCGCCGTTGACAGGTGCCAGGCTTGGGCTGGAATGCCGCGGAGTTCTAGCTCAACGCGGCATTCGAACACGCCAGAGCCGGCGTGGGCGAGCTTGCTCCATGGCCGGAGTGAGAGGGAGAAGCGCGGCGTGTTGATGAAGTGTCGCCGTCGAGGCGGCATTTGGTGGTGTGGGAGGAGAAGAGGATAAGGAAATCCTCAGGGTGGTGCTCGTGGACCGTGAAGTCACCCTCCGAGAGCTCGAGCGAGCTGATGAGCAGGTCGGAGACCTCGGCTGTGGACACGGGTGGCCTGTTGCCGGTGATGGAGGCCAGCATTGCGCGGGCAAGCACCTGCTTGGCCTCCTCCATCTCGACCGAGTGCGCCATGATGACTCACACGGGCTCAAGGACCATCTGGGCAGCGGGAGGAGGAGGGGGCGTGGCTGGGGCCGCGCGGCGGTGGGCTGGCGCGGCCCCTGCTGTTCCTAAGGCGTAGACCGTCGCAGGAGCGGGAGTCGTGGCCGGAGGTGAGGCAGCGTCTGCACCGGATGTCATTGGTGCAGTCGCGCACGCGATGGCGGTGGTCCAGGCAACGGAAGCATAGGCCGGCGACCTCCTCAGGGGAGGGGCTGCGGCGGCAGAGCGGCGGAGGGCTGGGCGTGGCATCCGAACGGGGGCGGCGGTGGTTGGGTCGTCTCGGTTGTTGGAAGCCGTCGGCGTCGACCGCGGCGCCATTGGTGACGCGGTGCACCTCCGAGCGTGGGCCGAGGCGGGTCTTGGCAGGCCGCCTGCTTGGTTCCAGAGGACGCTCGGCGGTCGACAGGGTCAGCACCAGAGGACGCCATGGCCGCAGGGCTGGGTTGCGGGGAGGGCTTGGTGGCTGTGCGGCGCTTGGGCCGGGGCTTGGAGGGGACGACGGTGGGGCTGGTGGAGGAGGAAGGTTCGGTGGGGCCGGGGCGAGGGCTCGGAGGGGGCGGCGGCGGCAGCGAGGCTGGTGGGGGAGGAGGGCTAGGCGGAGCTAGGTGGAAGGGGGGAGCGGAGCGGAGCCATCCTTCAACATTTCGAATGTTGAAAGTTGAAGCATGTGGGAATAGACAATTAGTAAGCTGACAGCACAAGGCACAATGGTAGGACAATGGATATCGTCGCTTTGGAATTGCAATTTGTCCACTCTCACAATTCTGTGATATGGAACCATATAGAACCGGGAAAAATTGGTTAGGAAGAAACTAAAAACAAGGGCATTATTTTGAGTTGGAGTTGCATTTTTGCATTTGTTATGTGCTCTTTCTTTAAGTGTTGATCTCGCATAAAAGTGGTAATGTAGTTGTTTATTGGTGGTAGGTCTCATATGTGAGTAAAGTACATTTATTTATGTTTTGGAAGGTTTTTGGTCCCATGTGGGTGGGGGTGCATTTGATTATTGGTAAATGTTGTTGGTCCGACATGTGGGCAGAGGTGCATTTGTTTATTGGTGAAGAATTGTTGGTCTCACATGTGGGTATGGGTGCATTCGTTTATTGTTGCATTCGTTTATTGTTGAAGGTTGGTTGTCCCACATGTGAACTCACCACCAACTCCAACCTTTATAAGTAGGAAAGATAACATATCCAGTAGCCTTCAAATTTTCTTGGATCATTAGGAAACTGTGCAAGGAAAATTTGCAATTTTTTGTACGTGCAACCCACCAAGATGTTTTTCTTTGAAAACACACTGGCAGCCGAATATGGATTGACCTGACTGTGGAAGGGATTCAACAGTGTTATAACATTACCTGGAGATTCTTCGATTGAGTTCTAGTTCACAGATTTATATGTGATTTCTCATTCTATGTTTACTCACTTATCAGGTGATACCGTCGTAGCGGTGGATAGCCCTTTTGGACGATTGGGCCTTACTGTTTGCTATGATTTGAGATTTCCAGAGCTTTACCAATGTTTGCGTTTTAAGCATCAAGCTCAGGTGATTGTGTATGCCACTGTACTGCCAAAACGTCTGTTTTTAAATATATAAGATGTTTTGGCAGTTTAAGCTGAACTGCCAAAACGTCTTACATTTAGGAACAGAGGGTGTATTTAAGATAGCCTTGTATTAAGTTGTTATTCATCATACATTCATACCCTTTAGATTGTTCAGGAAATTTCTTAGTTTTCGAATCTTTTCTTAACATTTCATCTTTTTTTAGGTCTTGCTCGTACCATCTGCATTCACAAAGGTAACTGGGGAAGCACACTGGGAAATTCTCCTTCGTGCTCGTGCAATTGAGACACAATGTTATGTACGTAAATCTAATCCTTCTCGCTGCCCATGGACTTTTGCATGTAGGTTTAGTTGTTTCGTATAGTTGACACTTGGCAACATGAGATACGATAATGTAGAAGTTAATGCTAGACTATTAGTACAGATACCTACTGTATTTGTAATTTTACACATGAAACACATGTGCAAATCTCATCACATCAGTGGAGGTGAATAGTTGGTACATGAGCTACTTGTTAATCCACCATATATATGCCTCTGATTGCAGATTCAGAACAAGTGAGCTATGCTTATATTTCAAAAGCTTTTGCTTTATGTGGAATTCAGTAAAATATGAAAATTGTTTAGTTGACTTTCGAAGTTAGGCAGCTTAAAAACACTTTTCCAATATTTCTTAGGTTATTGCTGCGGCTCAAGCTGGAAAACACAATGAGAAAAGAGAAAGCTACGGCGATTCTATAGTTATTGACCCATGGGGAACAGTTATAGCTCGACTTCCAGGTACGGCTTTTCACTTTGTTATACTTAGCTGTTACTCCCTTCGTTCCTAAATATTTGTCTTTCTAGAGATTTCAACAAGTGACTATATACGGAGCAAAATGAGTGAATCTACACTATAAAATATGTCTATATACATCCGTATGTGATAGTCCATTTGAAATCTCTAAAAAGACAAATATTTAGGAACGGAGGGAGTACATACTAAGTTATGATTCTTGTGACTTGGAAGATTATATTGGGTTCTTTTCATGTTTTGTATCTTAACTGTTAAGAATCATCAATAGTGACTTTCTCTTGAGTTCCTTGTCAGTATTTGCTTCTTTCATATGGTTGTGCTGGAAAATAGTCGTCAATTTTGTAATGCTGATAATTTTGTGTTCGTTTTTATTCATTTTTTTAAAATAATATTCTATGGACTACTTTTACAAGGTATTGCCACTAGTACCCTTTTTTATTGTTAGATAAATGATCTGAATTTTGCTACAGATCGACTGTCCACTGGATTTGCAGTAGCAGATATCGACTTGTCAAAAGTTGAGGCTGTGCGAACCAAAATGCCAATCTCTGAGGTAATAATGTCTCATGTACCATCTGTTTGCTCCGGTCCAAGTACTCCAGAAGCTGTATTTCTGTAATGGCTTAATTATCCTATGTTTTGCAGCACCGCAAGTTTGAGAGCATCTGGAAATCCTCATCACTATAATAGTTGAAGGTGGTCTTGCACGCTTCGCCGCTCTTATTCTCACATTCCGGAGATTCTTCTTTTGTGTATAATAACTGTCATTTTGTTCACAAGATGGTCCAGTTCGATTGGGATTTCCAGTGAGACATGTCATAGAACTAAATAAGCTACAACTGTAGTAGCATATCTAGTAAATAGGGGATATCCAAACATGGCTCAGAGCACCTTATGACTTGGTTTGAGATGGCTTCTATCTCTGCTTATGGTCCAGACAAACCAGAAACCGTTCCAAACCCAAAGCTTAGGAACAGCTTAGGTTGTGTTTGATTGGGCCTTAGGGTCTTTTAAGCCAAAAGCTCAACCAAATCCAGCGAATTTGATGTTTGTGTGTATGTTGACATGTACAAATGCATGGTAGCAGTACTTTCATGACTTTATGTCACTTTATTCTTATGTGCTGGAGTAGTTCTTTTACTGTGGAAGAGATGTAAAGGGCAATTTGGGGATGAACATTCCACAAATGTTTTTCTTTTTGTGAGATATGGAAAAAAGAGGTAGATAATCATAATCGGCCATTGGGCTTGTTGAACCAGAAAGGTTAAAAAGATCTTGGAGATAGTCACTGGGATTAGAACAACTACAAGGGGAAAATGTTTCAGCTAGACCTGACGCCGTTGACACGAACAATCTATGATACAATTGCCAACTCCTCGATGACAATGGAATGATCAGTTCTCAGTGTGTTCATATACAAGTGACTACTTTATTTTGGCGGACCATCTCGTCTCGCTCCGCGCTCGTCTCCGTGCCTGAGCCCGTCGTGCGTCACTCCGACGCCGGCGTCCACCTCCCCCGGCGCTCGCCACTCTGGCCACGTCGGCCACCTTCCCGCTCTTCCCCGCCATGGACGTCAGCCCGCACTCGCACTCGGCGACCTCGCGCCCCGCGGGGGAGCGCCCCGTTGTGTCTGGCTTGGGTCTCTCGTCCTGCTCGGCATCGTCGACCGCTTCGGAGGGGGCTGAGGCCTCGTCTAGGCCACCGGCGGGCATGGCCGACGGCCTGCAGCTGGTCCCCTGGGAGCGGCCTCCCCTGTCTGGGCGTGCCAAGTGGCGGCGCCGCCATGACCCGGCCGCGCAGCCGCAGCGCGTGCCGCCACGCTTCTCCCCTTCGCGCGAGGTGTCACCGGAGATGGTGGGCCTGTGCTTCCGCTGCTTCCAGGACGGGCACTACCGGAAGGATTGCACCAATGACATTGTCTGCTTCAGGTGTGGGCTGTCGGGTCATGGATCCAGGGTCTGCAAGCGGCCCCTGCAGCCCGTCGTCGCCAGAGGAGCTTCGGAGGCTTGTCGTCAAGAAGGTGGCTCGCGGGGCATGGGATCTGCTCCTGCTAGTCGCGGCTCGGGTGGGGCGTTGGCGGGAGCGCTGCTCCGCTCCCGCCGCCGCCCCCTGCGGCTGCCGCGGTGCCACCGGTCTGGCCCCGCCTCCCCACGCCGCCTCCGGTCGGGCCTTGCCACCCGGTGCCGCGACCGGTGCTGCCTGTGGACGAGGAGTTTGACCCGTCTGAGCTCTGCTTGGTGCGCCGCACCCAGTCCATGGAGGGGTTGGAAGGCCGGCTGCAGTTATCCATGGTGGCATACGCGGCGGGCGCTAGGAATGATATCTCGCTGGAGTTCGTTCTTGAGGTGCTGTAGGTCAAGGTGTGCATAGAGCCGCAGTGGGTGTCTGTGCACCGCTTCCGGCCGGAGGACTTTCTCATCATCTTCGCGCTCCCGGAGCATAGGAACAGACTTTGCACCATGCCGGCGGTGGAACATCGTGGGGTCAGACTCTTCTTCCGTCAGTGGAATCGGCAAGCTCAGGCGGTGCATTCGGTGTTCAGGACCAAGGTGTGGATCGAGATGGAGGGCATCCTGCCGCACGCCTGGGAGCTGGAGGTGATGGAGCGGCTCCTGGGTTCGTCTTGCTTGGTGGATGCGATGGCGCCGGAGACGAGCTCCTGTGCGGATCTCTCCTCCTTCAAGGTTACGACGTGGACGGCTGACCCAGAGGCGATCCTGACGCTCCGTTGGTTGGGGGTGCCAGAACCTGGCCTGGGGGTGCGGCCATCCCAGCCAGCGTTGCTGCAATACAGAGTCCTGATACATCTCGTGCAAGTTCAGGATTTCGCAGAGGCAGAGGAACCATGGTTTCTTGGGGGCGGTTCTTCAAACAGTGGTTAGAGTGGTTTGCCGGGCTCCAAGGACAGCATGGATGGTGGCGATGGGGCCGTCGCTCGCCGTCGGTCATGGAGTTCGGTGCTCGGGATTCTCGGGGAGGCGCGAGCTCGGGTCGCGGCGGCAATGGCGCGAGGTCAGGTGGAGAAGGCCGCGGTCGGGCCATGGCGGCCATGGAGTGGAGGCTGCCCGCCATGGATGAGGCGCCGGTGGTGGCCCCGGTGCGCCAGCAGGTCCATGCCAGCGACCGTCTTGCGGTCAGGACCTCTTCTTTTGAACGTTTGACCGGGCGGGCTTCCACGAGGCAGGGACATGATCAGGTTCAGCCTGGCGCAGCTGGGGCGGGGCCTAGAGAACTTTCCCCAGATGCTTTGCCTTTGGATGAGGCCGCTGATCGCGGTCCAGCTCATGCGGAGGATTCGGTTGATGCGGGGATAGAGGACCAACAGGCAGTTCGCGCGCCCATCCCAAGGCCACAGCTGGCTTCGATTCTGGTGGTTCCTGAGGTGCCCCAGAACGTGGCCTCCGTCTCGGATCCCCAGGCATCGGTGGTAGGACCGGACGCAGGTTTTGGCACGTTCCCAAGTTCAAACCTAGATGAAGTGACCAAGGCTGTTTTGGCGGAGCGCGAGCCTATCCAGAGTTCTCTGCCTTTGCAGGCAGGCCGAACTGCAGTCTTGGCGGTTCCAGAAGTGGACAGTGGGCCATAGCAGTGAAAAGGGAGGGGCCAGCGACCCTACTCTGATAGGGCCGGAGATCGAGACAGTGGAGGGCCATCCTCTAGGTCAGGGATCATTCCAATTGGTGGGCACGTTGCCGCGTGCACGAGAAGGAGTGTTGCCTGCTGCCTCCACTGATAAGGACAAGGCTGTGGAGAGGGACCCACCTGTGGTGTTGGGATGCGTGGAAGGGGAGCTGGCTCCCCCCGTTGGTGCATGCCCCTTTTGCTTGCAACGGAGTGCATGCATGCATGGAGGGGCGGGATGCGTTTGTCACATCACCACTTGATCCAAATTCTGAGAGGGACAAGGGGCGCAAGAGGGACCCACCTGCTGTCTTATCGGGATGCGAGGCGGAGTTGGCCGCTCCCCAGTTGGTGCATGGACATGCAGGCATGGAGGAGCGGGATGTGAATGTCACTTCACCTGTACATGTTGATGATATCCATCATGCATCTGGAGGCGGCACGCAGACGAGGTGCAGTTGGAGCCGGTTTCCGTTGAAACCCAGGGGTTCTCGCGGCAGGAAGAGGTGGCGTACGGCCGGATGAAGACCTTCTGCTCTAACATAATCAAGAGGTTAGCTCCACCTATTCAGAAGGAAGCCAGGCCTTGACCCTTCGCTTGGATGCTTAGCCTTTCACCCCCGTCCTACAACCAGGGCAGCCAAGAGGGCTGGGATACATGCACCATCGAAGGCGACACCGGTAGAGAATGTCCTGTTGAGAGCACTAGGTTTGGCCCCAGAGTATTTGGAGCCAGATGAGGCTGTTTTGGATGAGCTCAAAGAGCTGTTTGACTCACCACTCCGCGAGCAACATGTGAGAGTGATCGCTGTGATTTTTGGCAAGATGCTACCACTAAGGGCTGAGCTTGAGGGAGGCAACACGATGGCGATCGCCGCGTAGTCTTTGCGCTGTTGGGTGCTGGTGTTTCACACATGTTTCGCATGGATACAAGCCCTTCGATTACATGTTGGAACGTGCGAGGTTTGAACAATCCGGCGAAAAAGAAGGCGGTGAGGGAGTTCATCTCCGCAATCAAGTGTAATATGGTGTGTCTCCAGGAGACGACACTTGATGTTGTAAACCAATTTACTATCATGCAATGTATTGGACCATCATATGATGGCTTTGCTTACCTCCCGGCGATTGATACTCGTGGAGGTGTGGTTTTGTCTTGGGACTCGACCGTGGTGCAGGTGGATCATGTTGTCTTGGACACACATGCTCTCACCGGACTGGTTCATAACCTAGACGGGAGCCAGTGGTGGATCATAGTGGTGTATGGTCCACAAGGAGATGAGCAGAAGCTGGAGTTTTTGCAGGAGTTACGGTTACGAAGAACGGCATGCCCCGGCCCCTGGATGCTTCTGGGTGATTTCAACATGATTCTTAGAGCTTCGGAGAAAAATAACACCAACATTAACAGGCGCACGTGAACTACTTTAGGGCGTTCGTGGATGATCTTGAGCTAAAAGAGCCATACATGCACGGAAGGCGCTTCACGTGGACTAATGAGAGGGACTGCCCTACCCTAACCAAAATCGACTGTGTCCTTGTTTTGGTGGATCGGGACCTTGCGAATCCAGATTGCTTTCTTCAGGCGCTGGGAACAAACGTTTCGGATCATGCCCCTCTACATTTAAGTATGCAGGCCATGTGCAGCCCAAAGCGGAGGTTTAGATTTGAGTTGTATTGGAGTAAGTTGGATGGGTTCGAAGACGCAGTCAGAGCGGCTTGGGTGTGCGATGAGGCCATTGTGGATCCATTCAAAAGACTTGACGCCCTATTCCGGAACGCGGCCATGGCTCTACAACCGTGGGGGCAGAGGAAGACGGGCAACATAAAAACCAACTGGGTGATCCTAAGGCTGGAGCAAGCGCAAGAGTCTCGTACCCTTACCGCGGAAGAATTATGGCTACGGAGAAACCTGAAGATGGCCGTGCTTGGGCTGGCTTCGTTTGAGAGGACGATTGCGAGGCAACACTCAAGGATTAGATGGCTGGGTGATACATCTCCGTTGTATCTATAATTTTTGATTGTTCCATGCCAATATTCTTCAACTTTCATATACTTTTGGCAACTTT